CTAAAGGCTGGGCCTGAAACTCTGATTGTGAGGGATTCTGCTGTAAAGGATGTACACAGGATGTGCAGTAAAAACACCAAAGTACTCCGTTTTCCGAAGGACACGGTCATCGATAAACCCTGATGAAGAACAAGAAAAGGAGTGCCGCCACCTCGCCCGGAAGAGGGAAACCGGGACACCCCCCTGGAGCCAGGCCTGGGGGGGGGGGAGCTTGCCGGGGAGCGTCTGGTGGTCGAGCCTTAGGGCCCCGTGGAGCTCGGTCGGGCACAGCCCAAAGAAGCAACACGGGGCCATTTCCCAGAGGACCCACCACCCTAGGGGGAAGAGGATTGGGGTCGGGTGCTATGCCCACTGGGTGGTAGGCAGGACCGGGCATCCTGGCGTACCACCCCTTGGTGGCGTAGACTAGCTCTGGGGACATGGAATGTCACCTCACTGGCCGGGATGGAGCCTGAGCTGGTGCAGGAGGTGGAGCGCTACCGGCCAGATGTAGTCGGGCTCACCTCCATGCACAGCAAGGGCTCCATAACCATTTTCCTGGAGAGGGGTTGGACTCTTGGCCCCCTACTGGTGACCGTTTTTTGTTTTTTTTTTAAACAGAAAAAACAACAACACACAAGCAAACAAGCATGATGGGACCTGCAGACTAATATTTAGTTGAACAACCCTTTGAGTCAATCACTGCTATCAAGTGTTTTCTGTAACTCTCAGTCATAGTTCTGCACCTGTTGACAGGTATTCTGGTCCACTGCTCATCAGCAAAGGGCTCTCATTTGTCTGGGACAGTTTTGGTTTTTGTTTTTTGTTTTTTTATTATACTTTTCAACCACAATTCAAAAGCAATGTCTTATTTCACTAAATTATAATTGAACATTTTTTAAAATTTATTATTACTTTTTTTAGTTTCTAGTTATTTGAGTGACTTTCGTGAATTTTCCCTTTTCTTTAATGGAAGAGTATGAATACATTTGAGGACGACTGTATGTTCTACCATGTTCTAGAAGCTTTTGACTTTGAAGAAAGTAGTAAAAAAAATGGTGTGGGGAACTTGCACAACCGTGAGGCACTGTTAATGCTGAAAGGTACACACAGGTTTTGGACCAACCAGTGTTATGTTACGGGCCCCGGCGGTCACGGTGACCACGTCAACAAAGAGAATTCTGACAAGAAAGGCTGCAAAATACATGTAGAGTGTGAGAGCAGGAAGGACAGCAGTACTCCCGAATTCCTCCAGATTGTGTATGAGCGGAAACAGGAAGTTGGTCCGCACTATGCAACCACGTAGTGCCAAAGGTTCTGC